TATATGGATTATTTTATGTGTCATATATATATATATACATATATATATACTTGTAGCAACTGTGGGCTTCACTGGTGTAAAATTAGTATGTATCTGTCCTGACATCGTCTCGGAGGAATATTTATCTTTAATGTGTAGTTATGGTCAGTATCTCGCAGAAAGTCGATATAACCTGTTTACTGTGCCCTATTTCTGCTGGACAAAACTTGAACGATATGTGTGCGGTCAGGCCTATGAACTTTGTTGGTATTCTGCATTTTATCTTCGATATATACTATTGCCAGATTCTTTTGAAACAAATTTTTCTCTGTAGCCATAAAATTATCTGTTTATGTTTTATATTGAGGTCTTAATTTTAGAAAGCTGTGTTACGGATTTTGATAAAGAAATGATGAAGATTATTTTCTATCGGGTAAGATAGTACTCGCTTAATTGGATAGAATACACCCGTGCAATGCACTTGTGTGAATATACTTCCAATTGGGCTTTACCATCACAGCAACTCACCTTTGAAAATTGGCAAACAAACAAACATTTCTTTTAAAGAATATTCAAAGACAAATGACTATGTGGCTGCTGTATTGTTATTTTACTATCAGCGGAACGTGTTGTAGTGCCTGGTCCAATTCATGTGCAGATATTTGCAAAGCGACGAAATAAATACATTTATAGGATGATCAAGCAGCATTGATTGATAATATCCGACCACAAACTCACACATCCTCTGAAATGAAAAAAATAGTATGCTCCATCAGCACACGTTTTATTGATTGATTGTACTGAGTGATAAAATGTAGGCTTTGTGCTTGATTCTTTCATTGCGATATGATTGGGTAGACACAATTCAAAGAAACTGCAATTAGCGAGAAGCTGAAATTCCGGATACACCCACCCGTTCTAATTCAACCCTTCTCTAAATTAACCCCTGTAAACAAGCCCCTCGTGTTGAACCTCCCGAGAGGTTTCTTTTGTTATCAGGAGTCTTTGACGGGTCAGCCATGCAAAACGTATATGCCTGCAATTTTGAAGCACTTTTTGCCCCGATTTTCCCTTCCTAAAATATTCCAGATAATTTTTGAGCACTTTCAACCCTGGGTTCCACTCTTGAAAGCGAGCATGGCAAAAAAAATCCTCATAAATATAGATGATAGTTGCGCACAGGGTTCTGCGTTGCATTGTGATCTGTGAATCAATCTGGAGGTTTATATGGGCAATCCTCTAAATGATAGCGCTCGCCGTAAACTCACTCTGAAGTGCCCGTTGCAAATTTGAGACAGTTTTTGTTTAGATTTTGGCAAAATCTGTTCGAACTGCGATAGTTAGCATACACCAATACCTAGTAAATCAATCGCATGCATACTATGAGAGAGCTTGTGCCTGCACATCCTGTTAAATTAACTCTATCAGCCATGATAAAAGACATTGGTTGTATGTTTGTAAGCGCACATATGCATACCATCACCACGTGCATGCCGAAACATGCCATTAATACGCATATTCTAACAGCGACTATTTAAAATCGCAACATTGAATCGACTGTATGTTTTATTCCCGAATTGAGTCGATAAGGTATTACATACTTGAAATAATTGCTCGTCGTGGAGTCGAGACGGACCTTCTAAGCCCCACACACATACAAGCCCCATACTCATACATATACATTACGGACCCATATAAACACACAAGCGTTGATTGTATTCGAAACTGGCGCAAGGGGCGTTTTTGTGGCTCGATGTTGTAACTAAACAATTTGCGAGGGCGGAACTTGGTTGTTAGTTTACGTTGATCGATAAGCGTACGCTGGCCCGATATTGAACGAGTGGCCCTGGTTTTATCACTCAATTTCTGGTACCTTTTTTTTTAACGAATTTCCCTCCAGAGATCGAACATTGTAGTTCTTAGAGTTCGCTACCCGAGTGTTCAGAGAAACAGTTTGCACCTTATACTGAATGACAACATGAGAAGTGAATTGATTCAAAGTTGTAAGTACTCATTATTTACCTATGCACTCGTTGATATTCTGATCAATTTAATTTGTTACAGCTCGTGAGAGATTACAGTAGTCATGTACACCTCAATATGATAAACACGATATTATGCCATCAGTCAAGAGAGAAATTTGAGAAATGTACTCAAACTATTGTATTCACAGCTGGGCCACCGGTCCGCCTGAGAGTATATAGCAGAGAAAGTGATATGTTTATTTCTTTAAATACATTATCACACTAGTGTTCTGAATAAGATTTCTTATACTGGTCATGCAATAATTTACCCTAGCCCACCCAAACGGTCGAACATTAGTACATACACTATTGGTATATATCTATGGGTGAGATTAAGGATAAAGGCATCCAAACACAAACATTTGTAGCTATCGCACCACTAGACACTACGCAATAACACAGCTCCAATTGAGAATGTTGACTTCTCAATCGACACTAGAACAACATCAGCAGCAGAAAGTAGACAAACCCAAGAAGTCTGACCAATCGTTATGCAAACGTCGAGCAAGCCAGAACAACCGCGAATGACCTCATTTTCAACCCGACAAACTGCTCAGAGCAAAGTATATATCAACGAACCGGAGGCTACCGCAGCGGCTAGCTACAGGAACACATTGCGCTCTCGAAGCAACTAATGATACAATAATTATAGAAGGTCGACAATTCTTTCGAGAACTCCGAGATCTTACGATATGTGACAGTTCAAAACCAAGACTTCCTACCAACCGTCCTGCAAATTCGAGACAGCCAGAACCACTGCAAATAACATCGACAAACTGCTCAGAGCGGGAAAGTATATATCGGCGAACTGGAGGCTACCGCAACAACTAAAAGATCATATCACGCTCTTGAAGTAACTATAGCTAGAATAACAATTCAAAATCGAGGAGTCCGACAAACCATAATGCAAAGGTCGAACCGGCCCGAACAACTGCAAATAATCTCGTCTTCAACACGACAAAAACTGTCCAGAGCGATATATATTTTGGCGAAGCGAAGGCTACCGCAGCAACTATAAGTACATATCACGGTTTCGAAGCAACTATAGCTAGAATGACTGCGGACGGTCGACAACTCTCCGAGAACTGCGAGGCCTTGCAAAATATTACAGTTATGTCAACTAGCATCACAACAATCGCTGTACTAGGTCAGCAACACGCACATGGCTAATTCAACAACTTCAGCACTGGAACAGAAAGTATACACGGGTATATAGTGGTAATTAATTCATCATCCCATCCTGTCAGGTTAGATGTGCAGTCCCCGGGGCAGGCTTCCTGCTCGGAAACCCCTTTTCGTTTAAGGTAGCCGAACTCTTCAAGGAGTGGCCCCAAGTTTATCAGTTGTTTAATATGAATCTCTTCGGATTGGAGTATCTATAAGACGCCAAATGCAACTGACTGGGATGAACATCACGCTCGGATATAGAACGCTTGAGGGTACAGCGCAAGGTATTCGCCCTAGTTGACAACAACCCACGGGAAAAATCAATATATACACCTCGATGGGTCTTCAAAGCAAAAACGTACAAATCAGGGCAAGACACACGACTTAAATCTCGACTGACCGTAGCAGCATTCGATGT